TACTGTGCAGTGGTCCTGACAAACACCAATGAACATTCAGTTTTCTAGTGCTCTGTAATAGGAATTCCCACCATGCCCCCACAGTCACGCATGCCCATTGGGACACTTAGTCATTTCCGGATCATACGTGCTGCGTGACCCATGACGCTGTGACTGCATGGTTGCATAAAGCGCACAGTGTAACCATGTGAGCCATGCGTATGTGTGGAATAGCCGAATGGGCCTGTGTGCACAGGTGCTGCTTGGCCTTTAAAAGCCAGCCCCCCTCCCTGGTGATGTGAGTATCTGACAAGTCATCCTTGTTTCATGTCTAGTATCCTGCTATGAGTGAGTACATACCATGTTTGTCTTTCTGAGTCTGGGTTACCTCACTCAGGATGATTTTTTCTAGATCCATCCATTTGTCTGCAAACCTCATGATGCCATTGTTTTTCTCTGCTGAGTAGTATTCCATTGTGTATATGTACCACATTTTGTTTATCCATTCTTCAGTTGAAGGGCATCCAACTACTGAGGGATCTGGATGCAGAGATCCATGACTAGGCCCCATGTGGATCTCTGGGAGTCCAATTAGCGAGAATGAGGAGGGTTTATATGAGCAAGAATTGTTGAGACCAAGGTTGGATAAAGCACAGGGACAAATAGCCAAATGAATGGAAACACATGAACTATGAACCAATGGCTGAGGGGTCCCCACTGGATCAGGCCCTCCGAATGGGTGAGACAGTTGATTGGCTTGATCTGTTTGGGAGGCATCCAGGCAGTGGGACCAGATCTTGTGCTCATTGCATGAGTTGGCTGTTTGAAACCTGGGGCCTATGCAGGATTGTTTGGCTCGGCCTGGGAGGAGGGGACTAGACCTACCTAGACTGAGTCTACCAGGTTGACCTCAGTCTGTGGGGAAGGCTTTGCCCTGGAGGAGATGGGAATGGAGGGGGGGTTGGGGGGAAGGTGAGGGGGACGGGAGGGGGGAGAACAAGGGAATCCGTGGCTGATATGTAGAACTGAATTGTATTGCAAAATAAATTAAAATAAAAAATTTAAAAAAAAAGCCAGCCCCCATGTTCCCCTGCCCCCTTCACACACATGTCCTTTCAGCAGGCCTGATCACTTCTATCCTTTTCTCCTCATCTTAATAAAACTCTTGTTAATGGATTCTGTCATGTTTTGTGACTTTTCCTCTCAGGGTAAGAGCGCTGCTAAAAACCAACACTCTGTACATATATGAATGTAACAATAACTAAGAAAAATGTGGTCCTGCATTTGAAAGGGAGTAAGAAGGGGTATATGGAGGAGAAATGATGCAATTACATTATACCTCAAAAATAAAAGAAATAATAAAAAGTATGCCTGGTACATTGGGATTGCATTTTAATATAAATCTTCAGACAAGGTCAGTAGCAATGATATAGACAAATGGAATATTATCCTCAAAATACACTATGTACTTATAACCTACAAACAGTATTTAATTACATATCTCCAGTGATTTATAAGACCCAGAAGTTATGCAGTTACAGCAAAGGTTGGAGAGCCTCATCCCATTTTTGCCATTATCTATTTGGTAAGAATTTTTGTAAACTGTGCGTTGCAATAGGTTAAGACCGTTATCTCCCAAAGGCATAATCCTTCCCCTGTGGAACACAGTCCTAATGTTGATTTGAATTTATGTACATTAACTTCTTATCATCAACTCTCTCTCACATAGGAAATAAGAAGATTCAGAAGTGGAAGTACCTAGATGCCCTATACAGCCTATATGCTGTTTCTTTAAACTCTACTCAGAAGCGTGTGTGAGCCTTCTTGAGAAAATTCGATGTTGCAGCTAATCAGCCCTACAACCCTACTAGGTTAGTATCAACAGGAGCTTTGGCTCTAATGTCTGCATATTTGTTGTAAAGTAATGGAGCCCAAGTGAAACCAGTGAGCCAGTAAAGAATTCATAGATTAGGGCAGAATCAAATTGGTTTTAAGTACTTTCTCATCAAAAAGTCAAAATAAATATGTTAAAATTATGATTATAAAAGTATGGTTATAAAAACAAATTGTAATGTCATAATTAAAGGAAATTCAGACCCCTATACTTTCAGTTGAGTTTGTGGCTGCAGCTATAACACTTGTAGTGGGTAACAGGTGCATATTTAAGTGGGCTTAGACATATAGAGCCAAAGTATAAATCATTATGAAAATAAGGTACACACACTACTTCTTGTCATTACCAAATTATAGGAAACTAAGGTACATTTTTTCAAAATTCAGATGAACAAATGTCTTTTCCCTTTAGTTATCTATGTTACCCTAAAAATACAAATATGAGATTTTTGAGGTCCTGTAAGTATAGGGTTATCATTAATATATTTCATTATATTAATGATTTACAGTTCTGGTGACAGAAATTATGAATAAAATGTATTCAGTCCAAAAAATTTATTGTCTTTTCCTATCTTTTAAAATACCATTGTTTAGCATGTAAAGTCATTGGTAAGTATTGTAGACATCAACAATTAACAGGACATGAATTTAACTTTTTAATATTTTTTGTTACAGCCTTGTTCCAGCACTGTGGGACCTACATTATTAGTCTCTCACAGGGACAATCACAAACTCAGAATTGTATTGTATGATCACCATCATTGACATATTTGCATACTTGCCAACTGCGGAACCAACATTTGCATCAGATCCTCTAAAAGCTAAGAGACTTTTGAAGCACCTCATATATTAGTTAGTGATTTAATATGATCCCAGTCAAAAACCCCAGAACCATTCTTCATAGAAATAGAAGAAAAATCAGAAATCATATGGAAACACATAGATGATGGGGACTCATTCTTTAATAAGCAAATTATAGTCCTTTACTGAATCTCAATAGGACCATTAGGATAATTACATGGAAGGGCAATTACATCTCATCAGTCCAACTCTCAAAGGCACAGTAACACAGCTATTATGAGGAAGTTAACAAAATATAATCTACATTAATGCTTGTGTACAATACAGAATATGTATGTATTGTGCAATATACACCATTTAATATATGTGTGCATGTGTTCCTCATATGTCAAAAACATGATCACAAACAGATTAAATATAATATAATCATACCATATATTATGCATAATCATTTTCACTAAATAAAAAATCACAAAATCACTTCTATTTCTGCACTGTTTCTTGAATTCTTTCTTGTTAGGTTTAGAAAATTGGGCATAAATTTAAGGAAGACAGAACAACACTCTTTCATCTATTTGCTTTGAACTATGATACCATTTTCATGAATGAAAATAATGTAGTGGTATTTACTACACCCATGACCTTGGGCTATAGGGCCTGAAGGAGGTGATGCTTCCTGCCCTTGTACATGGCCTCTTTTTTTTTTTTTTTTTTTTTTTTTTTTTTTTTTTTTTTTTTTAGCGTGACTTATTATAAGGAGTTGGAGAAGGGTCACATGTTCTTCTCCCTGCTCCTGCCTGAGAGGTGGATTTGCTGCCAGTCAGATCAGAGGACTTCAGCTGTGTACTTCATTCTGTACTTTTGAGTGTATTTTCTCAATTTATATCTTAGTAAATTCTGTTACGCATTTAATAGACCCATGTGGATTGATTGTAATAAAATAACCTGCACATTCAAAAGAAGAGAAGCAAAGTTATTACAAAAATTTCATGATTCTACAACAAAGATTTTAACAACTGAGAAATTTCCCTTTACCTTATCTTCATTTCCTTCATGACATAATTTTTAAATAATAAAACTTTACCCCCAATTTTAATGTAGATTAAATTGATCTCATTCATTGTTTGATGGGCTGTTATTTTTCATTTTATCAAAAAATTGCACCCCAAATTTTAAAATACTCTATCCCTTATGCTAATATTTTATGCTTTTTGTGTATACAATCATCTATTATATTCAAGGTTTTTTTCTTTTTTTTCTCTCATTTTTCTTTTCTTTTCTTTTTTTTTTTGTTTTTTTTTTTCGAGACAGGGTATCTTTGTGTAGCTTTGGAGCCTATCCTGGAACTCACTCTGTAGCCTAGGCTGGCCTCAAACTCATGGAGATCTGCCTGGCTCTGCCTCCCGAGTGCTGGGCTTAAAGGCATGTGCCCCCACCACTGCCTAACTCTATTCAAGTTTATATTGGAGTATAATATAAAATAAAACTCAAGTCCTTTTTTATTTAGTTACAATTCTCCTATTGCTATTAATGAAACAAATTATATTGTCTCAATAGCGTTATAATGAATTATTTTAAACTTTAAAGAGCAGAAATGTGTGAGTTTATTCCACAGTTCTGTTACTTAAATATCCCAATGCCATTTTTATTCAAATATTTTTGCAGCAACATTGGACATAAATTTAGGGAACACAAAACAACTATTACAACTATTTGCTTTCTAATTATGATATAGTTTTCATGAATGAATATAACCTGCCCATTTGACACAGTAGGGAAGAAAGTGATTACAAAACACTCAAATAGAAGCACTTTGTAAAGCTATCTTAGAAGAGCGATTTCTTAAATACAACTTTGTTGAGCCCATGATAAATTTACACATCATTGATAAACTGAATCCATTTATTTTGAAAATATACACATAAAATTTTCGTTTAGATTATAAAATAACTAAAATAATGGAGAAATATTAGAACAGAGTATCAAGATTTATTATTTTCAGTTTTCATGTGTTTACAAGACAGTACCTTAAATTTTAATATACTAAAATATTAACCATCACAAAAAGTCTCCAGAGACATAGCAATTGGTAGAATACTAATTTATTTTAATCACAAATTGCACTGCAGGAATGATGCACTGTATAGTATAATAAATCAAGTTTTAGGAATAAAATAACACATGTAAGAAATGGGGTGACAATGAGACTTGGTGAGGACTAATTTTCTGATTGTCTCTTTCACAACTTTGTTCCTCAGGCTGTAGATCAGGGGATTCAGCATGGGAATCACCACAGTGTAAAACACAGAAGCTACTTTAACAATGAGTCAGGAAGCTTTAGAGTAGAGGAAGAGGATGGTACCGTGGAAGATAGTGATGGTTGTCAGGTGGGAGGCACAGGTAGAGAACGTTTTCTGACGCCCACTAGCAGAAGGAATCTGCATAACTGAGGTGAAAATGAACACATATGATGTCAGAATAATCAGCAGGCTGCTGACCTCATTGAAAACAGCAATAATAAAACATAGTGTCTGGCTAGTGTAGGGGTCTGAGCAGGAGACAGACGCAATGACAGAGTGGTCGCAGATGAAGTTATTGATGACGCTAGATTCACAATAGGATAGTGCAAGAAGGAAATATGTGAGTGTCAGGGAACACACGATGCCCCATGTATAAGATCCAGCCACCAGAAAGGTGCACAGCTGGGGAGACATAACAGCAGTATAGAGCAGGGGTTTACAAACTGCCATGAAGCGGTCGTAAGCCATTGCTGCCAACATGAAGGTCTCCGCTACACCGAAAATGCAGGCACAAGAAAACTGCAAGATACAGCCATAGAAAGAGATGGTCCTATCCTCCACAACCAAGTTCTCCAAGAGTTTAGGTGTGACTCCAGTGGAATAACAGGAATCAGCAAAGGACAAGTGGCTGAAGAAGAAGTACATGACGGTGTGAAGTTTGGGGTTCGTGTGGATGAGTATCATCATCCCCACATTCCCAACCACTATTATGGTGTAGATGAGCAAGAAGAGCAGGAAGAGTGGGACCTGTAGCTCTGGGTAGTCAGAAAAGCCCATGAGAATAAACGTCCGTATGTTGCTTTGATTTCCTTTCATTGACCTCATGATCCCTGTTGGGATAAAAAGAAAAACCATTCATGTATAGTAGACAGAAAAGAAAGGAAAAAACAGAAAATGAAGAGATACATTGCATTTCTACAGAGACTGATCAGAACATTATTTCCCATACCCAGTTTCCCAATTGTGACAATTTTAAATATTTAGTTTTTGAGATTATAATATATATGTATATACATACATATATAGTATATTATTTTTAGACATTTTTAGAAAGGACATTTTCTAGCTCCACCATTAAATTTCTTTTTTTTTAAATTTTGAAATAATTTAATTACAATGCTTCTCCTTTCCTTGTGTTCCCTTCAAGTCCTCCCATATACCCCGCTCCACTTTTCTTCAAATCCATGACTTTTTTTTCACAAATTGTTATTGCATGTCTATAAGTATGTACATATATTATACATACATATTCCAAAATACAACCTGATGAATCTACATATTGTTACTTGTACACATGCTCTCTGGGCTGACTGTTTGGTATTGGACAACTTTCTGAATCCAAAACTTAGAATGCTTTACATTCTTCCATTCTCGGGGTTGGGGATTTAGCTCAGTGGTAGAGTGCTTGCCTAGCAAGCACAAGGCCCTGGGTTCGGTCCTCAGCTCTGACAAAAAAAAAAAAAGACATTATTTTATAAAAACTATAGGAGATTTTGGAGTATGTAAAACTGTTAGCAGAAGCAGCACAGAAATGTGTAGTCCTCTATTTACAGTTCAATATCTGCTGCATTACTAGTGTAGAACTGAAAATTGAATTTATGGAACAAATAATTATGACAGGTAGAAGCCAGAGAGGCAGAACTAATATGCAAAAGACCTTTCTTGGCTTGAAGAATTATAATAAGTACCAAAGAGGTTGTTTTAATTTGCAAATAGAGTGGATAATTGTTTTGATGTGTTCTTGGAGTCTGTTTGCCAATATTTTATTGAGTATTTTTGCCAACCTTATGGAGAAATTTTCTTTCTTCCTTTCTTCTTTTTCTTTCTTTCTTTTTTGGTTTTAGACACAAGATTCTTGCTGTCTCCTAGAACTCACTACTTACTTTGTACACCAGATGGGCCTTGAAATCACAAAGATCTGCCTGCCTCTGCCTCCCAAGTGCTTGGGATTAAAGGCTTGTACTACCACACCTGGTGGAGGAATTTTCTTCTGTCTGTCTATCTAACTATCTATCCATCCATCCATCTATTTATTTTACATCCTCACCACAGTTTGCCCTCCTCCCCTAAACCTGCCTCCTCTCCACCCTTCCCTTAAACTATTCCTCCTCTGTTTATGTTCAGAGAGGGTCATATCTCCCATAGGTATCAATAAAACATGGCATACCAACCTGATATGTGGAGAAATTTTCTTAATTGAGGTTCTTGCCTATCAGAAGATTTTAGCTTGTATCAAATTGACATAAACCTAACCAGCACAGAAAGATAATTAGATGTAGACATAAACAGAATAGAAACATCTTAAAATGAATAATATAGAACAAAGTATACTCTGTGGTACATTAAACAATCGCCTGATGAAAATCTCCTATTTTCTTAGTCAAAAATAAATAACCTTTCCTTGATACTGAGGTAACCTTCAGGGATGAATGTGATTGAAAACACTAAGACAAAATTAAATACTGTAACACGAAGGAGGATGAATGAAGATACATACAGAAGGCTGAAGCAGAAATACAACTCTGTTTCTGTCTCTATCTCTCAATCTTCTAAGCTTTATTTTGGAATAAGTTCTGGTTGTGTGCTTAATCCCATTATTATTATTGCAGTAACTCAGCACATTCACATAAGGTATAAGCAACTTCAGGCATTGGGAATCTATCAGGATTACATTGTTCCCAATAATTTATAGGACAGGATTAACACAACTTAAACATCAAGTGCTGTTTACTGTGCTCTGATACATCACTGTACCATCCAATCTGAGTATCCTAATGGTATCTTTTACAGTGGTAGCCATACTTATGTTAGTCTAGTAACAAAAAGTTACTCAGAAAATGCTTAGTATCTTATGCCTAGAACTTTCAATAAATTTGTAAAGAACAATAAATTAGAATTAAGTTTATGTTTAAATTGAATCTAGTCTAGTTGAATACAATATCAGCAAATATGCCATTTGCTTTCTGTGATTATTATCTCTATAGTTATATTTCAGTATTTTTAGTTTCTGTAATATAAAAAAGTAAATTTGATAAACATTCCCTGTTAATAAAAAGTCAGTGTCACCAGCCACACACAAAGAACTATTTAGTTTTCAGTGTATTCCATATGAGCTGCCCACATGTTCCTACCTGAATTTTAAGATAAGAAAGTCAAATACACTCACCTGAGACCTGATGCTCTTGATTAACTATCAGGGAATTTCTTAAGGTTAATGAATCTCAGAGTCTTTAATTTACAATCATCAATATACAATTTAAATAGTAACTAGAGGCTCTTAACAGAACTGGAATAGCATGAAAATGCCAGGAAAATGAGATTTTATTTCCATGATGTAAGAAATGTCAGAATATAGAGAAAAACTTGAAAGCTGTGTTTACAATACAAAGTGTGCTGAAGCCTGAGTCTTATGTACATCACCCTGATTGGAGATTATTGTAGCTGACATTTTCCCTAGTGGGTTGCACAACTGCATTTAGTTACAAAGCTGTCTCTTGTGTCATGTATTTTCATACGGAAAATTCCACCATCAAATTTGTAACCCAAACTGCTTTCACAATTACTGAAATCATACATGATCTTTTACTAAAAAGAAGACTGTGGTGGTATTATGTTCCCCAAAATATTGTGCACCCTAATAAATTTATCTGGGGTCAGAGAACAGACAGCCACTAGATACAAAGGGTAGAAAATGGTGGCACTCACTCCTTTAATCCTAGCACTCCAGAGGTAGAAATCCCTCTGGATCTCTGTGAGTTCAAGGCCACATTGGAAATGGCCAGGCATGGTGACACACACCTTTAATCCCAGAAAGCAAGCCTTTAATCCCAGGGAGTGGTGGTAGAAAGCAGAAAGGTATATAAGGCATGAGGACCAGAAACTAGAAGCATTTGGCTGGTTAAGCGTTCAGGCTTTCGAGCAGCAGTTCAGCTGAGAGCCATTGGGATAAGGACACAGAAGCTTCCAGTCTGAGGAAACAAGACCAGCTGAGAAGTTGGCTAGGTGAGGTTAGCTGTGGCTTGTTCTGTCTCTCTGACCATCCAGCATTTCACCCCAATAACTGGCCCCAGGTTTGATTTTATTAATAAGAACTTTTAAGATTCCTGCTACATCAAGACAAACTTCATAGTTTCACTTTTTCTTTCTTTTTTGTTATATTTTATTATTTAAAACATTTTTAAAAATTTATGCGAATATTTTGAACATTTTCTTTCCCTCCCCAAAGTCCTTCCAGATCTTCTCTCCTCCTACCCACCCAACTTTAAGCATTTTCAAAAAACAAAACAAACAAACAAAAAACAATACACATCAGACCTAAGAAAACAATACTGAAAAAGAAAAGCAAACAACCAAAAATTCCACCAAATTGTAGTTAAATAAAAGCACATTTAAGCTGGGTGGTGGTGGTGCACACTTTTAATCCCAGCACTTGGGAGGCAGAGGCAGGCAGTTCTTTGTGAGTTGCAGGCCAGCCTGGGCTACAGAGTGAGTTCCAGGGAATACACAAAGCTACACAGAGAAACCTTGTCTCAAAAAAAAAAAAAAAAAAAAGCACATTTAAAAAAAACTGTAGAGTTCATTGTACATTGTTCAAGTGCTCCTGAGGCCTGTCTGGAGTAATTGATATACCCAATCTCACTCTATTGGAAAAAATTGATTTTTCCTCTCGCAGTAGGTGTAAATGATAGCTAATTTGTTAACCTATTGGCTAGGTTTTCATTCATTTATTTAAAAAATAACAAAATAGAATATAATCAGATGAAACAAAAACTATCATATTTAAGTTGGACAAGACAAACCAACAGAAGGAAAAGAGACCAAGAGAAGGCACAAGAATTAGAGACCCACTCATTCAGACACTCATAAATCCCACAAAGACAATAAACTGGAAGCCATAATATATACTTAGAAGACCTGGTGCAGACCCAAGCAAGCCTTGTGCTTGTCGCTTCAGCCTCTGCAATGTCATATGAGCTTTGCTCATGTTGATTTAGGGGACTTTGTTTTCTTGGTGTTCTCCATCCTGTCTGGCTCTTGAGTTTTTTTTTGTTGTTGTTGTTTTTTTGAAGAGAAAAGAATGCAGAGATAGCCTATTTTAGCTACATATTTGGTTTTACACTCAAATGAGCAGGGTAGAATTGTGGCTATTACTACTTTAAGCAATGGATGAACATGACTATCACTAGAGATAGTTAGCTAACATATCTTTCTGATACAATATCATGAAAAAAAGCACTTTATCATTTTGATATTTTTTGTTCAATGCTGGGAATCCACCAGGGGTAGTGATATATTCCTTTCATCTTAGCATTTGAGAGGCAGAGGGAGACTGAGGACATTCTGTTCCTTCTTTTCATCTATTTCTGAGGCCCTTTCTCAGTCCGTACCCCCAAACCCTTATATTCTAGCTTAACATGAGAAATTCAACTGACCAATGCTGATTGTCAGACATTCTACAGGATATTCTATCACATTCCCTGTTACTGCCATTACTGATTCCATGAGTGGTGTCAGAGCAAGTTTGAGTTTCAACATGGACTGAAGATCTGGGACCCTCCAGAAATTCCTCAGGGTCCTTGGCTCTGTGTTTGAACTCTTAAGAGACCTTGTGTCATGTACTGAGCAGCTACTGGCTTCCCAGCCTC